TTACTTAGAACTACAGCCATATATACATACACACAACGTGAACGCAGTTTGAAAACATGGTGTGAACTGAATTAGGTCGATAGACCACTTAACAGTGACACACAACTGTCAGTTTTCTGGTATGGATGCGGCACTGCCGCAATATAGGATCGCGCTATGGAGAGAAACTGCGTCCTGTAAATCTGTAATTATTTCTTTAAAGGTAAAAGAAATTACCTACATTGTGGCCAACATTACAGATACTCCTTTGAATCACATAATAAAGTGGGAGTTTAGAAAGAGGGCAGGAGAAGAAAGGAGGAGATAGGAGTTCGAGTTATAGACGTACACCTTACTATCTGTGTACTTATAGGAAAAGCCTCTTACGTGCTCCCAACTGCAATTTCGTCTATAAAATATGACTAATAAAACCTGCTTGGCTTGTCCCAGTGAGGTTACTGTAACAATTTTTTGTAGAATTCAAACTAGATTATTTTGAACAAAGCGAAAGTGTAGCCAGCCAGACCCCAAATGTGGACATTTGCAGCCACAGCTGAAGTGACTGTTTCAGTAGCTTGTTTGGATCCTGATTAGTTCTCTAAGGAAAACAGTGTGTTAATTGATAATGGCTGTTGATTACCATGTTACAGAGGTGGATTAGAGCCCTTGTGAGCCATCCCATAGAAGGGAAAAGAGGAAGGAGAAAGGATCCGTGTGATAATGACAGTGCTTAATGAGTACCAATAAATATTAGCCAGCATAACAATAATTATCATTAGTAGAGAGCTTGCTGCCAAAATTGTTCTTTCTTTGTCCTGAGAGGTTTAATGCTCCAAATTTACCATAATCAAACTCTGGTTCTATATCAGCGATCCTAAACATAAATCCTTCACCTTCCCAATCTATAGTCTTGTTTCCCAGGGACCATAATTGAATCTGAGCAAATATTTCTTTGAATCTTCAAAGAGGTATTCTAATTTGTGTCTTCAAAGGCCTATCTGTTCACAGCCTTTCTGCCTGAACTACCAGCCTGTAAAGGAAAAAGAAAGTTTTCTTCACCAGTTTTAACCACCATTCAACAACTGAGTCAGCTCACAAATAATTGTATTAGTAGTGGGAAGAGTAGTAGTAATAACAATGATAATAAAATAGCTTACACTTAGGGAGCACTTACTAGTTGCAATTAGCTGTAATAAGTATTGTATCTATATTAGCTAATTGAGTCCTCATAAAACCCCCAGGAGACAGGTTGTATTATTATTCTTCTTTTTACCATTTTAACCATTTAAAAAAAATTTTATTGGCATATAGTTGCTTTACAATGTTGTGTTAGTTTCTACTGTACAGCAAAGCGAATCAGCTACATGTATACATGTATCCCCTATTCTCTGGATTTCCTTCCCATTTAGGTCAGCACAGAGCACTGAGTATAGAGTTCCCTGTGCTATACTGTAGGTTCTCATTAGTTATCTATTTTATACATAGTATCAATAGTGTATATATGTCAATTCCAATCTCCCATTTCATCCTCCCCCCATAGGTTGTATTATTATCCACATTTTACATGTGGAAACTAAGAAGACACAGATTGTCTGAGTCACTCAAGTGCACGTAGCTTGTGAGTGGCACATCCAGGATCATCTAACCCGGGCTGTGTGGTTCTAGAGTCTCTTGCCTCTATGTCCTTCTACCTCTCACAAGAGCTTGTCTCACACCTGCGGCATCTCCAGCAGCTGGAAGGGGATTTGAGATTTTTAGAAGGAGACCATTTCTTCTATGGCCATCTCTATGGTTACTCTGAAAACTCGGTTGTGACTAAAGATCGTAAGATGTGAAACTTTTGGAATCTTTGTCGTTTGGGGATAGGCTGGATCTTCAGTGGGTATTTGGGACCAGTATAGAAAAAGACAGCCTTTATTCTTGGCATTAGGGGATCACTTCTGTGTGACTTGGTTTAGCTTCAGCCACGTCCAGGTTACTTCCAAGTACTCAGTGATGTGATCATTCTCAGTGTCTGGAGCCACAAGTCCAAACTCCTCCACTTATTAGTTTCGTGATGTTAAGTTATTTAATAATTTAATATTTAAATTTAATAATGTGTTTTTGTCTCAGGTCCTTCATTGTAAAATGAGCAAACATATTTCACGTGACTTGGGAGAATCAAATGACATCATATATGTACAATATTTATCCCAATGCTTGGCACTCGAGGCTCAATACTACTATGTGAAGTCGAGAAAGTAAAGTCAGGGTTGTAGAAAATGGGCTGCAATTCCTTTCCTCAAAGTTAACTACTTAATAAGGCATTCATGATAAAATTCGCAAACCTCATCACCATATACTGTGATTTGATTGCCTCCAAAGAGATAAAATATTAAATTTATTAAAAGTTCCAAGAGGGTTAAAGTTAATGTGTTACAGAGAGCAGGAGTGGGCGCCTGCACGGCGAAAAGTGTTCATATGAAGTGAAGACTTCTCCCTATTAGAAGTCATTTCTTCCCTCCAATGAACTTTTATTCCAGTTAATCTTTATTTCTCTTATCAAGCATGAGCACACATGCCAGTTTGCCTAGGTCATTCTGAGTTATGCCTGTTATTCCAGCGTAATTATTAGCAGAGCCCCCTTTCACTCTAAAATATGTTCTGTTTATATGATAAAATATGAGGTCACCTACTTATAACTCTTATCACTTCTCCCATGTGTTCCGGTTGGTTACGTATTGCTGTCTGGTGGCCTCTATTAAAATGTTCATATGAGCAGAGACCATATCTACTCATTTGTATTCCCAGTACAGACTCTAATAATTACTTCTTAAGTGGATTTAAATAAGGAGATTGAAAACTCTTGGGGTCTAAGCCTATATTCGTAGACTTCTTTGTGTCCCTAATATCATCTGGTATTGTACCTGTACATATTAGGTGCTTGCTAGGTCTGTAAATGTGATTGGACATTCATAGGGTTATACTATTTCTGGACTATCCTGGAGATGATCTGAGCACAGACTAGAAGTGTGTCTTCATGAACCTTCTCCCTTCACACTGCTTGCTAACCTGTGCACATTTCTGTCTTAGAGTTTGCGTTGCTTTTAACGCCTAAAGAAAAATTTTCTTTGAAAAACCCAAGGTGTTAAATTAAGAGCCATGTGCATTTGTATACTTGACATTATTGCATGTGGGTGACTGAAACAGCTCTACTTTGTAGAATTTAACCCTTCTCATTACTGGTCCCTGTTAGGAAATTTAAAATAAAAATTAATGAAGGGACTTCCCTGGTGGCTCAGTGGTTAAGAATCCGCCTGCCAATGCAGGGGACACGGGTTCGAGCCCTGGTCCGGGAAGATCCCACATGCTGCAGAGCAACTAAGCCCGTGTGCCACAACTACTGAGCCTGCCCTCTAGAGCCCGCAAGCCGTAACTACTGAAGCCTGCGCTCCGCAACAAGAGAAGCCACCACAATGAGAAGCCCGTGCACTGCAACGAAGAGTAGCCCCCGCTCGCCACAACTAGAGAAAACCCACGCGCAGCAACGAAGACCCAATGCAGCCAAAAATAAAATAAATAAATAAATGTATTTTAAAAAATTAATGAAGATAGATGATATTTCAGTTTATTGGTACATTGATCTAACAGTTTGCTTAACAGACTATATTGAATTTTTAGTTTTGTTCAATTAGTGTTGATTTCTTTGAGATTTATAGCTGGAATTTCAACTCTTGTTTTATAACCTGTTCTGACTTAAATAACCCTACTTGGTTTTTCTTCTTAAGATTTCTAAGAAGTTATACTAGCAGATGTTAAAGGGAATAAAGGGCATAAACTTTCTCACATTAATTATTTACAGAGGAGTCATTTAGGTGAGTAATAAAACGTCCTGATGATGAGGGGAGAGTCTAGTTATCTGTGAAATCTTGATTTCTAACTTGGAATCTTTCAGTCCATTTCGTAGTGTTAGATGTATTTCCCCCTATGTCCTGTGGATTAAGGATGCCATGGCTATTTGAATATATATAACCATATTACTACACATTAGGCATCAACCCAGTGGTTGAATTCTGAACCTTGTGAAAATACTTGTGGGTTAATGCTCCTCTGCCAGGCTGTATTAGCTGGGCCTTCCTCTTTAGTTTTACCCTCTTTGTTCTGTTGGAGAAGAACATTGATAGGGTGTGACAGGTGGTTTACCTCACGAGCTGGACCCAGGCAATCGGAGCCTCCATACCCAGTTCCCAACCTTGGGGCTGTTGATATATCAGACTGGTTAATTCTTCATTGTCTTGGGTTGTCCTGTGCCTTGTAAGAGGCTTAGCAGCATCCCTGCCCTCCACCACTAGATTCCAGTAGCATCTCTTTTCTCAAAGCATGACACCCAAAAACATCCTCAGACACTGTCAGATGTTTCCTAGGAGGAGGGGATGCAGCATTGCACACACCGTGCCCCTGCCCCTATTGAGAACCACTGCCTTGGAACCTCTGCAGAAACCTTTGCAGACGTGGAAGACGCAGTGACCTTAGAGAAGCGCTTAGCAATCGTTGTGACCTTAGAGAAGCACCTAGCAATCGTTGTGACCTTACAGAAGCACCTAGCAATCGTTGTGACCTTACAGAAGCACCTAGCAATCGTTGTGACCTTAGAGAAGCACCTAGCAATCGTTGTGACCTTAGAGAAGCACCTAGCAATCGTTGTGACCTTACAGAAGCACCTAGCAATCGTTGTGACCTTACAGAAGCACTTAGCAATCGTTGTGACCTTAGAGAAGCACTTAGCAATCAATCATTGTCACTTGCATAAGTCGCTTGACTTCTCTGACAGTCTGTTTACCTGCCAAGTGAGGATAATAACATCGATCTTTTAGAGTTGTTGAGATTTCAACCACATCAGGCATGGAAACTGCCAGGCATGGAGTAAGGTCCCAATGCACGGTAGTCACTGTCGTTCTTACTTGGTGAGTTCCAGCTAACTTTTCCAACACCAGTGATTCCAACTTATGAAAAAGTGTCTCTCTTTCTCACCCTGCAAACAGAGCACGACGAATGTGGCAGCGGGCAGCACAACTGTGATGAGAATGCCATCTGCACCAACACCGTCCAGGGATACAGCTGCATCTGCAAACCGGGCTACGTGGGCAACGGGACCATCTGCAGAGGTAGGCTGGCCGTGTAGGGGCAAGCCCTGAGCTGCAGCCCTACCTGAGCTCTTGGCGCTCCTGTGGCAGATCCGTTGTGCCATTCTGGTGGCTGAGCATGGCCAGCATTCCTGTCCCTGGACTGTCAGTTGGCAAGGGCACTGTGCATCAGAGAAGAAGTGCTCTGAGTCTACCTTTTGGGTTGAAGGAAGAAGGTATAAGTGTGGTTCAGGGACATGGTTCCGTATCTAGATGGCTCTCTTCAGCTTTGCCTGTTGGCTTGTGTTTGTGATGGATGCACTGGTTGCTGAGAGCTCTGCTCAGAGGACATGTGGGCACTGCTCATGGCCACGCTGCAGGTATCTGCTCAGTGTAGGAAGCTTAAAGTTTCAGCCACTCTCTGTGTTTGGAGCAGTTCAGAGGCCAGTGCCCTGGCTTCTGTCTGCATTTAGAATAAAATTCCCATTCCTCCTTCTGGCTAACGAGAACATTCAGAATATGGTCCCTGGCTCCTCTCAGCTTCATCTCTGTGTTCTCCCCCATTCTCCCTCAGTACCAGTGTGCTATTCCTCACTATTCCTCGCACAGGCCAGCCACATTCCTGTCTCAGGGCTTTGCACTTGTGCTCCCCTGAGCCTCCATGCTCATTTCCTTCAGGTCTCTGCTCAAGTCTGCCCCCATCATCAGAGACTTTCTTTGACCACTGTTTCTGAAATAGACCCCTAGTACTTTTCGGCCCCATACCCTCCTTTATTTTTTCTTTACTAACACAGCCTATCATAACATTATGCATTTATGTGTTTGTTTCTGTATTGTCTGCCTCCCCGTGGGGATGTAAGCTATGTGAGAGTGACCACAGGGTTGCATCTCCCTACTCTGTCCCCAGCAACTAGAATGGTAGCTGGCACACTGTAGACAATCAATAACTAACTGAATCAACCAAAGAGGAAAGAGACACAGTCACATTGAAAAAGAGGCAAAGTGTACACAAAAACCAGGAAATAACCCTTTGAGTTAGGTATTATTACTATCCCCATTTTAGAGTTCACAAAGCTGAGACACAGAAAGGTTAAGTAACTTACCCAAGGACACACATGCATTATCAGTATTCTTCTGAAGAGATGACATGCTGATGGTGAAAAATAATGAACAGTGACTTCTAAGAGGAGAATCTTAGAAGACTGATTTTATTCTGCGTTGGGGAAGTTGGGGTAAACAGCCTCATGCATGACTGAGAGTTAAATTGGTGAGACTTTTTAATGGCAATTTGACAAAATCAATCTACTTTTAAAGTAAATCTGAAGGGTCATAGAGGGATTCTCTTGAGTACATAGATTTTACCTCTTGAAATGTGTTCTAAGCATATGCTCCTGAGGGGCGAAAAATGCACATACAGGGATGTTTTTGCCGCATTATTTGTATTTATCAAAAACCAGAAACAGCCCAAGTATCTGTCAGTAATGGAATGATTTAATTTATTTGGAGTATAATTTAATGGAATACAGTACAGTGGTTTGAACTTCTGAGTGTATCTACAGACACGTGCACACGCATATACACACCCACACTGAAAGGCATATTTTTGAGAAAAAAAGAAAGAAAAATAAATAAAACCAAGTTGCAAGACAATACATATGGTATACATATAGTATAATCACCTGGCTAGTTTACTATTACTATTTTTTAGCATCTTTATTGGAGTATAATTGCTTTACATTGTTGTGTTAGTTTCTGCTGTATAACAAAGTGAATGAGCTATATGTATATGTACCTCCCCATATCCCCTCCCTCTTGCACCTCCCTCCCATCCTCCCTATCCCACCCCTCTAGGTGGTCACAAAGCACCGAGCTGATCTCCCTGTGCTATGCAGCTGCTTCCCACTAGCTATCTTACATTTGGTAGTGTATATATGTCGGTGCCACTCTCTCACTTCCTCCAGCTTACCCTTCCCCCTCCCCGTGTCCTTAAGTCCATGTTCTGTGACTGCATCTTTATTCCTGTCCTGCCCTTAGGTTCATCAGAACCATTTTTTTTTTTTTTTTTAGATTCCATATGTGTGTTAGCATATGGTATTTGTTTTTCTCTTTCTGACTTACTTCACTCTGTATGACAGACTCTAGGTCCATCCACCTCACTACAAATAACTCAGTTTCATTTCTTTTTATGGCTGAGTAATATTCCATTGTACATATGTGCCACATCTTCTTTATCCATTCATCTGTCAATGGACACTTAGGTTGTTTCCATGTCCTGGCTATTGTAAATAGTGCAGCAATGAACATTGTGGTACATGTCTCTTTTTGAATTATGGTTTTCTCAGGGTATATGCCCAGTAGTGGGATTGCTCGGTCGTATGGTAGTTCTATTTTTAGTTTTCTAAGGAACCTCCATACTGTCCTCCATAGTGGTTGTATTAATTTACATTCCCACCAACAGTGCAAGAGGGTTCCCTTTTCTCCACACCCTCTCCAGCATTTATTGTTTGTAGATTTTTTGATGATGGCCATTCTGACCTGTGTGAGGTGATACGTCATTGTTGTTTTGATTTGCATTTCTCTACATATATTTATGTAAATACAGGGAGACGGGAACCATGCAGATTGTTCACCTTATTACCAATGGGTGTGTGTGTGTGAACAAGAACATCCGCTTATTGCTATAAATTCAATATTGTTTGCATCTCCTACAGCGGGGATTCATATATGTAATATTTGTGTGTTTTTTAAAAAGTTCCATGAGACAAATAAACTAGTGCTCAACTTTTAAAAGAAGACTTGAAGATATTTCCAAAGCAAAACAAAAGAATATAAACATTAATATAGTTCCACGGGTTATCAAGCCACTGCTGATACCTGCATGCTAATGCTGTAAGTCTGAAGAACAACACAGGGAATTGATTTTAATGCATTATTTTTCCAAATGACATTACCTCATACAATGATATCGATTGCACCAGGTCAGTGAGTTTTGTTTGTCAAGCCCTCTCTTGCCACTGTGACAGGTGATGGCTTCACCTTTGTGGAATTTGAAAGTCCCAACTGTGAAAAATACGAGTTCAAATAATGTTCCTGGTGTCCATTGACTCTGAAAATACATCTTCCCTTGAAAGTTATGAATTAGGGAAAATAATTTTCTTAAAGTAGTTCTCATGGTCCATTGTGTTAACCTTAATAAGATCAGGAGAATCCTATGTTGCATCAGTGTTACGTGGGGAAGCATTGCAGTAGAGGTGAAGATTGGACAAAGGAATTGGAGAATTGGGGTTTGGACCCGATTTCCTTACTGGTGAGCTGTCACTTCTGTATTTTTACATAGTACAATTGGGTTAATGTTACCTTCAGTGTTTATCCAGCAGTGTTATTGCAAAGAATTATTAAAGGAATATATATATTGTTGTGTTTTAAGCTATCAAATGCTCTAAAAGTGGAAGACAGTATGATTGGTGGAACAATGATGAAGGGCAAGGGGAAGGCAGTACATGAGTTGGCTTCAGCCTCAGCCTTGTGACTCAAATACCCAAACATGTGTCTGTTTCAAGGCATACATTTTATAGTTGAGTTTTCCACTGGTAACTGGATCATTTATAGAGGGAGTTGCACAAGGAGTTTCAGACAGCTTGAACTAATTCAGAATGTCTGAGAGAAGAGATGGCTCGTATTGTGCTGGAGCCACGGTCTCGGGCATGCATGACCCAATCCTCACTAGACTTGCCAGATAGACACTCCTCTTTATAAAGGAAAAAGCTATTACTTGGGTACAGAAACAGAGAAACTTAAAGCAATCATTTCACTGCCATTCCTTCCTGAGGGCTGGAAAAGATACATGATAAAGACTCTCCTCATTGCCCAGAAAGGCTCCCCTATTTTGGATGCACTAATATTATTGTTAATAAAAGTATATTGGTAGTAATGTTTACAGGAGTACTGGAGTGTCGATACTGCAGTGTTGAGCAGAACTAAAATAACTTCAAACTTATTTGTAAACTCACTGTCATGGAAATACTTACCAACAAGCACTGGTACTGAATTTAGATCTGAATGTATCTGTTATAGTCCTTAATGGCGGGGGCAGGAAGGACACTTTACTGATTTAATTCTAAGAGAAGGAAGTCTCTAGGCCCAGAGACTATTATTATGCTTACACTTTCAATAATGCTTCCTTTGAAAAATGTGACTGAAACTTGAAAATGAAACTGATTGTCTAGTCTAAGCTTTCAAGAGACATTATGTTCATCAGCTTGGTAAAGAAAGGCAGACAGACACAGAAGCTGTATTGCAGTCTTGAAACCAGCAATAGTGCATTAAGAAGATAGTCACAAGAAGGGAGCTTGTGTGGTGCTAGGTGCAATATATTGGTTGTGTTATTTTGACTTAACAAGGCAGACCTTGATGTAGTCTTTTCATATGTATTCTTTTCCTACAAGTGCATTTTTCCTAGGCAAAAAAAGAGTCTCTTGGATGCACTTTAAGTACTTTCCATCACTTACCAAAGTCACTGCTTACCTTTTAAAGTTTGCAGCCCAGTAGACGTAACTGCATCCTTAGGGGCTTAAGGGAAGCACGTTAAGCCAGCTTGTATCTCAGAGGGAGTGGAAATCTGGCACTTAGACAACTGCTGATTCTTTAGAGAGCATTTTGAGGTTGCACTTTGGTGAGTCACATAGATGTTTGTTATCTGTAATTGTCACATCCGAAATGATGCATGAGATTAGCAGAGCCATATATATATCAGTCAATTTTATTTTAAAACAGGCTACTGAACATTGACTTTCTGGTGAAAAATCAAGATAAGACTGGCCTTCTTTCCTAACGAACAATTCTCAATGGACCAGGAGACTTTCTTTAGGCAACGTTATTGAAAGATGTCACAGTCAATCTCTAGGCTCTCTGCTGGATTATGATCTGTTTGGGGAAGCAATTATTTGCAAGATATTTAAAGTGCTTAACAACTGCTACATTTATAGAATGGCGCCAGCTATACTCAACATACCCATCTCAGTTCAGAATATATGCAAAGGGTA